ATGCAGCAGCCAAATCGCTTGCTCACGACTTTAATGCCAGGAGCTCACAAAGTAGAATTTTTGCTCACAAGACTCCACAGCTTAGAGGGAACATTGCTTCCTACCGGTCTTTTTGGGGAGTCTGCTTTTCATTGATGGGGAGGGGGGGTTTCTCTTTGCAAAGTCCAACCACGTGCGCGGGTTCGTTTCTAATCGGCCCCTTAATATATTTGACGAAGGGAGATCGAACTCAGGAAAGCCACTGCTGGAAAAACGTTTTCGTCCAGCTTTTCTTGGGACGGGCGGACTTCAGAGTCCCTACCCCTATCGAGAAAAAAGAAATCTTAAATCTATTAAAGTTGTGCGGCACAACTTCTTCCTTCCCTCCCCTAGTGGTTTTTATTGCCTTTGGGGCATTTTAAGGCGGGGGGGGGGCGACGACAAGGTTGTCGCACTCTGTCCCCCCACCCCTGTTGCCCCCTGGGTGGGGCCGTCCAGCCCTGATACTGAACCAGAGTCATAGAAACCAGCTCCCACTTGGGGGTGAGTTTCGGTTGAAAGGGGAGGGGAGAGCGATCGACGCGCTTCTCCCTCTCCCCCCCCCCCCCCCCCCCCCCCCCCCCCCGGGGGGGGGGAAACCTATTTGTGGGAGCAGGAAGGACCCAGAGTAAGGAAAGGGTTAATGTCGAGAGTCTGTGACTGTTCGGTGAACTATTACATTTGACCCTCCTTGCTGAGAAGTGGATTTCTTACCTAGCCGGTATTCCAGAACTCCTGGGTCTTTCCCTTGCCCTCTGCCACAAGTCCTTTCTTGCCTCCTCCCCTCCCCCCATAAGTGGGGTGGAAAATCTGATTGTGAAAAGCATTATCTTCTGAACGTGGCCGGGTGAGAGAGGGTCCTTGTGTGTGTTCAGTCAGTCCTGGTATGCAGTGTGGCTAAGTTCATTGCCACAGGTGAACTTGCACAAAATGGGCCACATCATGCATGCGCTGATGCGATTGCTCTGTGAATGCAGCCAGTGGCTTTTTTTGCTTCCTCCATCTCTTCCCCCTCCCAGTAATAAACTCAGGTGGGATATCTGAAGAAGTTGGGTTGTCAGTCTCCAGGTGAGGCCTGGAGATCTGCTTTTGCAACTTATTTCCAGCTGACAGAGGTCATTTACCCACCGCCAATGTTCCCTCTAAGCTGTGGAGTCTTGTGAGCAGATATTCTACTTTGTGAGCTACTGGCATTAAAGTTGTGAGCGAACAATTTGGCTACTGCACAAATTAGTTTGCTCTGGAGCCATCCTTCCTGAGCTAAGACAAAAATGTGTGAGCCGGAGGCTAAAAAACGGTGAGCTAGCTCACACTAACTCAGCTTAGAGGGAACCCTGCCCACCGCCAAAGTCACCAGGTATTTTCCAACCCAGAGCTGGCAACCCTATGAAGAAGTGTGCATTCACCTGAAAGGTTATATCTTGAATAAAACTTGGTTGGTCTTAAAGGTACCACTGGACCCAAACTTTGTTCTCCTCCCAGCAATAGGAATGGTTTGTGGCTGTAGATAAAAGTGCAGCCTTTGTCTTGACTGAAGTGGGACACCAGCTCCAGTGGGAAACTATAACATTGCCTAATGAGGACAAGTTACTCCTCTGACTTGCCCTGTTGTCCTCTGCATGACTCATCTTCTCAGTTAGAAAGCTTGCCTATGGACTGTAAAATATGGGGTGCTGTGTAATCTGGATTAAACATGCAACAGCAATTTTGGCCTGGGGGCTGAATAGCTAGGCATCATCTGTTGAACTGTGATCCTCATGTCCTGTTAACATTAATGTTATAGTATTGCTGCCAACCTCCAGATCTGGCCTGAAGTTGTGCCAGAATTAAAACTGACCTCTAGTCTACAGGGATCAGTTCCCCTGGAGGCAAGGGCGGGGGGGGGGAGGTTAGACCCTAGAACGTCAACATCGCTTCCCCACTGAGCCCCCTCCCCAGGCACCGCCTCCCCCAAATCACCAGGAATTTTTGAAACTAGCTGGCAATCCTAGGAAGTGAGGAGTAAGACCATCTAAAGGCTGATGTTGGGGGCAGTCCAAGAACGTTAACTTGGAAGTGTGTGAAGCTGTGGCTGGTACTGGTGCTTAACTCCCCCAAACCTGTTACCCAGTGCCAAGGCTCTGGTTCAACAATGCAAGGAAGCAGTAACGCTGGCTGACTCTTCTTTGCCGTTAACCAAAACTGGGCCAGCTCTCCCTACCTGGAATTAGGTGATGTTTATTTCTGCAGTTACCCCCATGGGGATCCAAAGCAGTCCATAAGCATACCTGACAGCTTAATTTTCTTCAGAACTATATTTTGCTTTTTTAAGAAGCCACATACCAGACATGCCTTGGATGCAGTGGATTGGTTCGTTCAGGGGCCATGAGCTTTTATTTAAAATTTAGATATTTATACCCTGCTTTTCTCCCCAGTTGAGGACTCAGAGGAGTGGCTTACAGTATCGCTCTCTCCTCTCCCATTTTATTTTCAGCATAGCAACCCTGTGAGGTAGTTTGGTGTGACTGCCTGAGGTCACCCGGTGAGCTTCTATGGCACAGTGGGGGTGTTTGAACCTGTATTCTTCTGGATCCCACTACACCACGCTGGATCTGGCCACGCCTAAGTTTTGTACCTGCAGGGCTTTCAGGGCCATAGGTGCCGTTTCCTGCTTTTTCAAAAAACGAACTGGGGTCAGTAGTTCACAGTGGCAAGAAATAGCAGGCTTCATCCTAAAGGGAGTGGGCAGATAGAGTGGTAGGAATACGGGGTAATACTGCAGAGAGCCAGGTTCAAATCCCTACCTGCCCCTGGAGCTCCTTGGGACAGCTGTGCTTTCAACCTAACCTACCTCGCAAGGTTGTAAGGTCAAAACACTTTGCAGAGGGGGAGAGCCACATGTGCCTCTCTGAGTTGATAGAAATGGGATCAGTAGTTATGAGTCCTTCCTGAAATGTAATGCATGGGTGACGGGAGTGTCTCTTTGATGGCCCCTTGCCCTAGGAGCAGCAGGTAAACATTGTGCGGGCTTAGTTTATCCTACCTTTGTCATTTATGTGTGGGGAGATGGGAAGGGTTTACAGCAAGGCACGTCTGAGATGTCACGTCCCTTCTTACGCCCTCAGAAAACAGCTGCTTCGGATTTTTTTCCTGAACACCAGGAAGCCGTTTTTCCAAACCCTGAGGTAAAGGGAGCTTGAGTCCCTGGGAATTCATGCTAGAATAAAAGCCCTTTAGCCTTTAAGGTTCCATAAGAGTTATGTTGAAACACAATAAAGAGAATTCCTCTGCAGGAATTTCCCAAATGTTTTACCACAGAGGATGGTATCTCACGGAGCGCTTCTGAATAAGGATAGTCCACTGACTTAGCTTGGCTGAGGCAAAGTAAAAAAAATGTGACTTCTGCTTATTGAACTACTTAACATGAGAAGTGTTGGAGCTCGCTTGAACTAACACTCGGGGTACTTTTCTCAGTTGTGTTTCCCTTTGTTTAGAGAGAACAGTGCTTCTAACATCAAAGACGGCGGTCTCTGCCTACTTCTGGCAAAGTACCTAACTCTGGGACAAAAAAAACACAACCTCCATTTTGTCTCAAAAGAAAACATAGCGCCATTGCGGCAACTTTGATTGGGGTCCAAATGGGTGCACTGCCAGTTACGTTTTAGACTTCCATGGAGGGCATATGTTGATCTAATCCTCCTGTGGCAGTTTCACTGAGAGGATGGGCTTTTATTTGGGTCTTTATGCCTCATTCTCCTCTCCTCCATTTTAGCCTCACAACCCTGCGAGGTAGGATAGCCTGTGGGGTGTGCAACTGTCCCCAGGTCATCCAGCAAGCTTCTGTGTGGAAGAGGAGATTCAAGTTTGTTACAGTCCAATTACCAGATCTGACACTAACCACTACACGATGCTTCTTGCTCTCTAAATTAACAAGCAGCATCTCTGGCACACCCTTCCTCTGTCTGGTCTGACTGGCGGCTAGTAGTTTTGTCAGTTCCAGTATAACCTGTCCCCAGCTCAAAGAGGAGGGTATGGTAAAATTGTAACATCCACCATGGTTTAAGATGGAAACTTCCAGAAAAGTGAGGTAGATGGCATGCCAATAGGACTACCGGACCCCATATACTCACTGCTTTCCTGTTCCTGAGTACCAGTGGCTACTAATTTTGGGTGACTCCTCGTAGTATTGGGATGGGGAGGGGGAGGATGACATTCTCAGGAATTCTCAGGTTGCTCAAAGTACAGGTGACTCTTACCTGCTGAAAGTGGACCTTGGGAGAACAGACAGTTGCACAACAGTTTGCTTTTTTAGGTGGCTGGCAGGGGTGGGGGAGGACTCTCGGCATGAGGAAGAAGAGAAACTGAGAGCCGGCTTTTGTTTAGGCTGCCCTGATGAGTCAGGCCGCTTGGCCTTGTGTCTTTGTCAGACCGGAGAGTACTGCCTCCCCACCTATGCTGAGAATCCAGTGTATTTGAGTCAGGTGGAACACAGGCCAAACATGAAGGTAAATTACTCTTCCTGACAAAGGAGGCTGGCTCCTCTGCCACACCCTCTGGCCCAGCATCAGCCACCTGCTATCCCTTTCCCTTCCAACGTCCGGAGCAGTAATCCTGATAGCAGATCTACCCCCCAGGCATCTGGCATTTCACCCAGCCCCAAGTCCCTCTAGGTGAGCAAAGAGCATTGGGTGGGGCTTACAAAGACTTTGCTAGAAAGCAATTCTAATGACCATTTTGTAGCCACTGTGGGATGCCCTTGAGACTGAGGCGGATGTGTTCAGAAAAGCAGGATGTGGACTGAATTTGGCCACTAAGTGCCCAGGACAGGGCATGCTTTGCATCAGGTCACAGGTTTGATCCTCGTCAAAAGATCTGTAGAAGCAGGTGTCAAGAGACCTTTCCTTGCTGTAGATCCCAGCGATGTTCTGCCAGTCAGAGCAGCGTAGGATGGCCAAAGGTTTGATCATATAAAGCGCATTTTTATGTGGCTTCAAAATGAACATTCCAGCTCTAGAGTTGCCCTTCAGGGGGAGGGCAGTAAATCCAGTACAAAAGAGTATGTGTTTAATTCTAGATCCTGTTCCCAAGAATTTTAGGGTTCGTGAACTACTCGCTCTGACATTCCTTACATGATTGTGAGAGGCTTGGCTGAGAGTGTGATTTGCCCAAGAATGACCATAAAATAAACTTCAGGGCTAGGGGAGCATTTGAACTCCGATCCCACCCTCTCCCCTGTTCAGCAGCTCTCTTGCTGTTATACCACACTGTCTCTCACCTGGCTCATTCTCAGTAGCTAGGGGAAGCTGGCCATTTAGGGATGCTGGCTGTCCCATCCTGAGAGTTATTGTCCAGACTTGGTCGGAGTCAACAGGATTAGAAGGGAGTAATTCCGCCTGGGATGGCACCGCCAGTTAATCAGTTCAATGAAAAATGCAGCAATTACAAGATTTTAGTCTGCTGATCCAAGTCTGACTTCTGCATCTACATTCCATCTTGCTTCATCAGCTAAGATTGAAAAAAGTGTTTTGCGAACTTCTGATGATTATTCAGGAAATGTGCACTTCAAGCTAAGAAAGCTCACTTCATTTTTTCACTCTGACTTGGATATGAAGAGTCTGGATCGTTTGTCTTCATGACTATACCTGCCCTTTGAACTAAAGTTTCTTCTAAGCCCCCTCCAACCAGAAAGGAGAAATAACAGGACAAAAAAGTGACCCAGTATTCATTTTTATAGCTTTTTTTTCCATCCTCACTTTTAACATGGAACCTATCTCTTTGTTAAGCTCCATAAGAGGAACCCTGTGGATTTGTTCTGCTAATGGTAGCACCTTCCTCCAATGAAGTGTCTTCCCCTGATGCAAGAGAATACAGCCTCATGTATCCAAGGGAAGGCATTTTGTGCCTAGCACCTTCCTCCAATGAAGTGTCTTCCGCTGATGCAAGAGAATACAGCCTCATCTATCCAAGACGCTTTGTGCCACAGGAAGGTACTCCTGTTAGCAGGACAGGTCCACAGGACCCATCCCGGCATGCCCAACTGTACTGAAACTTCTGTCTGTGTTCCCTGGGCAAATGCAAAATCCCTCTCATGCAAAAACTCAGCAGATAGAGACTTCAAGGCTTGTAGGAACCTCCAGTTACTGACTTGAACTGCCCTTAAAATGATGTCTTGATACAGTATTGTGGTTTGTATGGATCAAGAAATACTTGAGGGGTGCAGGGTTGTTGTGTCCAGTGCCATGAAGGTGGCTGTAGAAAATGCAAAAGTCAGGTCTGGGCGGCAGTCTTTGGCCTGGATTCACTTTGGGAGGGGGGAGGAGTTTTCCCTGTCCTTGGTATTTTCTCCCTCCTTCCGACTATAGAAAATAATTAATTGCCGCTGGGAAAGTCAGATATTGTTGCAAGACAAATGTTGCCAGAAGGCACTTTCCCCTAATATTTAACCCTAACCATTAGGTGGGCAGTGGAACAAGCTGTTGACTGCAGGTCCGCTGGAAAAAAACAGGTCTCTCAACTAGGTGTAACTAATCCACTTCACTTTGGTGGGGGAGGGGGGGTGACTAGAAGAAACCGGCTCAGCAAGGGGTGTCTTCAGCACAATAGGCTTCGCAGCCTGTGAAATGGCCAGCCTGTATTCTCCCAAGATCTATTTGTTCACAAGCTTAGACTGTTTTTTCTTTTTAAAGCCTGGCCTCCTTCTAAGGTTACAGCAACTGCACATCTGTAAGTGACTCAGATTTGTACAAAAGGACTCTGTTTGGATCAGGTCAAGGGTCTCTCTAGGCTGGTGTTCTGTTGCCAAGTATGGCCAACAAGATCATTCTAGGAAGCCTTTGGGGTGTTTAGGAGGTATTCTGCCACTACGCATAACCTTTATGTAGCTATCATAAGAGGTTAGCAGTTGAGCTAAGAATTTTTGTAATCCTTTTTAAAAAGCCAAATGAATAGTGACCATCACCACATAGAGGTGGAGGATTACGTGAACTATGGCAGTAATCCCCAATGTGGTGCCAATGAGCACCATGGTGAGTACCAATGTGTTCCCCTGGATCCTGTTTTCTTCTTTTCTGAAGCAACTCTTCCCTAAAGAAAAGAGCCAGTCCCGATCTCCTCCACCTCATTTAAGCAGGAGGTATTTCAGAAGAGCTCAGGATGTATCCATCTTTGTGTCCTTAGGAGGACTCATACAGAAGTAGCTGTCTCCTTCAAAAGATAGCCCCTGGCTTGGAACCTCCCACCATTTTGTGATTGGCTCCAGATCCCTTGGCAGCCATTTTATGGTTGGCTGCTTCCCCCTCAGCAGCCATTTTGTGGTGGCGCCCATTAACTGTTCTCAAAGTTCCAGAAGTGCTCCACAGACTCAAAGGTTGGAGACCCTCAACTAAGGTGTTCGGTAAAAAAAAAAAGCAGCAACAACAACTTTGGTTTGATAGCCATTCAAATGAATGACTATATTTGAGGTCCTCAGTGATGTTTAATAGTGTGATATAATAGCTCTTGTTAGATGAAATCCCTAGCCATTCACCTAAAAATTTCATCCTTGTCTCTCCAGAACTGCCTTGTATTGAGCGATGGCCTCAGCTGCCTTCCAGATCTTGGGCATGGCCCTATCAGTGGTGGGCTGGATCGGCGCGATCGTCACATGTGCCCTGCCCATGTGGAAAGTCACAGCGTTCATCGGCAGCAGTATTGTGACGGCTCAGATCGCCTGGGAGGGACTGTGGATGAGCTGCGTGGTGCAGAGCACGGGTCAGATGCAGTGCAAGGTCTACGACTCCATGTTGGCTCTGCCTCAGGACCTCCAAGCAGCGCGGGCCCTCATGGTCATCTCAGTGCTTCTGGCAGTCCTGGCCCTCCTGATTGGCATCGTGGGAGCCAAGTGCACCAACTGTGTGGAGGATGAGAATGCCAAGGCCCGTATCGTCATTGTCTCGGGTGTCATCTTTGTGGTGGCAGGAGTCCTCTGCCTGATCCCCGTGTGCTGGTCGGCCAACACCATCATCCGTGACTTCTACAACCCGCTGGTGACTGACGCCCAGAAGAGAGAGCTGGGGGCTTCCCTCTACCTCGGTTGGGCAGCTGCTGCCTTGATGACCCTTGGAGGGGCCCTGCTGTGCTGCAATTGCCCCAAGAAGGACAGCAACAACTACAGTGCCCGCTACACGGCAGCCGCCTCACAGCCCCGCAGCGATTACCCCAGCAAGAACTACGTCTAGGAGCCCCAGCTCCGGAAGCTGCCATCTTTCTGAAAGTTCAGCGCTGTTGGGTGGGATGGAATGACATCCCTTCTAGGACACTGCACAGTTAAGGTCCCTGAACTGAAGGCAAAGTATCTTGCTCTAAGGTTTCCATCCATCCTGTTCAGCCCATCAGTATTTCATTTTTTCTCTCCACGGTCACCACATCCTCGTTCCAGCTTCCTCTTGAAATGCAGAACTCTTTCTGGAGAACATCGTGGACTTAGGATCAATGCCCTCTTTTTACATAGATGGTGTGTCACCTCTCAGAAGACTTCTCTCCAGATAGTTCATGAGCAGTATGCGTGTTGTCTCCAGATGCCCGGCGTGGGGTGTCCAACAAGAGACTGGCTGCTGGCCCTGCCCTGTAGAGCAGCTTCTGTTCCATAGGATATCGGTTTGGAGCGAGAGAAGTGCACCAAGTCTGGTCATTAAAAGCTGTGACGCGTTTTTAAAATATTGCTTTTAAGTAAAGGCTGTGTAGCCTTTTGTTGCTAAACTATTAATTAACCTTGCATGCATTTCATATCAGAAGTCAGGTTTTTTTTAGTATGTCTGAATAACATTGCAGGTGTGCTTTTTAGTATGTCTGAATAAAATTGCAGATTTTTTTTTGTAAATACCTACTTGTCTTCATTATTGATGCGATCTGCAAGGGTGAGTTGAAAGCATTGCTGAGCCCCCGGAATGTTTCTCTGAAGCTGCCATGACCCCCTGTGGGTTGCCACCTTTGTCTGCCACCACTCTGAACTTAGGATCCCTTGGGAAGGCCCAGAGTACCCTCCCAAGCCCAACCAAAATGCCCCTTTTAAGCCGAGAAATATAGGCGTGATGACCAGGCAGAGAACATTAAACAAATGGTTTATTAATACAGTAATGGGGCATTGAAAACAAGACAAGGTGCTTAAAATATATAACAGTGTCTAAAGGTACATAAAAACAAATCTAACACGACTACCTATTTCACTATACTGGTTGCTATTTAAGGCCCACAGCCTCTTATGCCAGGCCTGTGCCTGTACTCACTCTGTCCCAAGTGAGGGATCTTTCTCTCAGCTTAACTGTCCTGTCAGCTCTGTGAGGGAAAAGAACACAGGGACCTTCAGTTTAGCTCTATGAGAGGAAAGAACACAGTTTCCCTGCCCACAAAGTATAAGTAACAATTCCCTCATAGAATCCCTGGATACCGATTGGTTACAACCGTCACTAAGCATTGTGGGGATTGTAGGCTGTGTCTGCTTTCCACTGACACATAGGTCTCTCCTGGGTCTAGGGCTAGGCCTTGCCGCCCAGTCCTACACAAATCATGACAGAAGCATATTCCTGGAGCAAGTAAAATAGTTGCCTCTACCTTGTAATTGCAGCCATTCTAAGAACAACAGGTATAGATGGGAGGAAGAAGATGAGGAATTGGTTTTTTTACCCTGC